GTTCAGGTTATGTATATGCCAAGATCATGATGTTGTTATTATTTTCAATGTTTACATTAGTACGAGTTTCCACGGAGCACAGTGTTATAGTGCTCACGTCCCACTTTTATCATGTTTTTCAGGTTATGATGTCGGGCTGGGAGCGTGAGATGACAGATACTTCAGGACTTTTATGTTATGACTGTATATATTTTGACGATATTACGTTTCCGCTGATTATGATTTTGACGAACTTATCTTTTGATCGAACTTTCAGATAATTAATGTTTTCAGTAAACCGTAGATTTTGATAAAAATTAAAATACCGGTTTTCCAAAATAAGTCACGTTTTACGGTAGCACCCCGAATCAGTTTTCGCAAAGTAAAAGATTTTATTTTTAAATAACTTTGCGAAATTTTCGCACTCTGATTTCACGATAAGGCGGGGTGTTACATGGAGGCTCAAGGTCAAAAGACGAGAGTGGATCTATATGCCTTGCCACTTAAGGCGACTGATATAGTACTGGGATGCCAGTGGTTGGAAACTCTTGGTCCAATCACAACTGATTATTGGAGAGGAACTATGGAATTTGGGAGATCAAGAAAGAGGGTGAAGTTGAGGACTGAAGATCCAGGCGAGTCACCTGACGAGGATGAAGATGATGAAAGAATCCGAAAGCTGAATTTCATTATCCTTAGGGACAAGGAAAGTCTTGAAGAGGAGGGGAATGATACGGAAGCGAGGTTCCATACCGGCAAGACTAGCAAGGGTCTAAAATCCAAAAGGTGCGCATCCGCCCTTGATGCACACGAGTGGGCAGACAAGCTGCGCACGCGAGTTGTGCGAGGAGTACGTGGGCGCACAAGCAGCAGGTGTGCGGGTGATGGTTGGGACGCGCGGCGGTCGGGGTGCAAGCGCACACTATGCGCGGGCAGCGACGCGTGGGGCGACACGGGTGGAGGCCTTGATCGAGTAGAAGTAGGAGTGCACGTCGCTTGAATGGGTGGCGAGGACGCGCGGGACACAGACAGTAGAAGCGAGGCGCGCGCAAGGGCGCGCGAGTGGGGCGGAAGCGCGGACGTCCTAGTCCGCAGGGGCATAGGACAAGCGTGCACGCATGTAACGCCCCGTTTGATTATGGTTATTTTGAGATTATTTATTATTATTATTATTATTATATTATTATTATTATTATTATTATTATTATTATTAT